TAGGCTGCGCCCAAACCCTTAAAAGCCCAACCCTACCCTGTACCCTACCCACTTTTCCTACAGGTTTAGGGTCGATATTTCTTCTCCAAAACCCAGAGGGTTAGGGTCTAGGGTATATGGCTCTGGCCCAACCCTACCCTAGCATAAAGGGGCCGCCCTAAAGCCCTAAAGGTCTATAGGGCCGGAGAAAATATATGGACTATACATGTTTAATGAGGTCTCAAGGTGTTGAACGTGGGGCATATCACGGAATATAAATACATATGGTAATTATTGATATGCTGAAATGGTACCATCAAAACACTGTATACAATTAATTATATATAACTGGATTATTATAGAAGGTCATTAACTTTGTGATCTTCAGTCAAACTAATAAACTGGTGAACCCAGATGTTTTAGATTCTTGCTCGATATGGGTTGCGTCGATAGGTGCCGCATGCACTGTAGTCAAAGTCGAATCCCCAGTCCACCACCAACCCTGCCATCTTGGCGCCTTGTGACATTCCACCGGTGCCACGGAATGCATTGCTGAATGTATATCTATTTTGTTTCACTTCATTCTCGAGATTGATGACTAGACGTGGTGAAGGTGGTCTCGTGTCTCCATCTCCGTTGCATCGATGTCAATTACCATGGCCTCTGGTTTGGGCAAGGTGAGATCAAAGAATTGCCGTCGTTGGGCTCTTGCAAATGATTCACGAACGATGTCCTGCTCCCTTGCATTGAATGTTTCTTCTTGAGCGCTTGGAGCACATCCCAAGCTGCCTTTGGGACTCTCTCCATGCCGGTTGTCTCGTAGTCGTTCTTCTGGGGTGTCGCATCTGGGTCGCATTCATTGACAGACAATCTATAGATTCCCTTTTGATGGCAGGTGCCCTTGATCCTGTCCATTGCCGTTCTGAAATATCAGAAGAATTTCCACCAGCAGGCAAGGATGAGATCGTCGAGAAATTTCTGTTCAGGTGGGAAGCAAGACAGGTTGCAATAGTCGTCTCGGAAGCTCATCGACAGGAAGTTCTCGTTGGTCATTTTCAAGCCTCTTCACTTTTTGATCCGCGAGGGCTGAATCTCTTCCATTCCCTGTATGGCACGTGGTCAACTATCGTCTTTGTCAATATCCAGCAACCAGCACGGCTCGTTGAGCTTTTTTGGGAGCATTCCACTCATGAGCTTTGACCATCGAAGCCTCCAGCCATGGAAACTGATTTCAGAGTTGGACACGTCCTCAAAAATCTCTTTGACTCGCAAGAAGTCTCCATCTTCCGACTCAATACTATTATTCAGCAAGATTTTAAGCCCGTTGATGCAGCAATTTCCAAGGTAGATGCACGGGAGATTGAGTTTGGCGTTTCGGTAGCTTGAGAGATGCCTAAGCGACCGTGCAAACGGGTTTATTTCAGATGTTGTGAGGTCTGTTATATCATCGTCATCCGATGGATCCACTTTATCATCAACCATCAACTGGATCACCCATATGTTGCCCGCGAGTTGGGTCGAGAGAGGATCCAATATCCTTCACGAGGGGCCGTTGATAATGCTGGAATCTTGCCATTCCATGTGACTTGCAGTCAGCAGCGTTTGTTCTGATGGGCCCTTCGGCCTTGATGCTGGGGGGTTCTGGAGGGCTGGATTGAGTAGAAATCATTGCCGTTTTTAATACTATTTCTCTTTCCTAGGTACTGTTCCTGAGTGCCCTCGTATAAAATTCTGACGATGTGGAGGCACTGTAAATGACGAAAAGATGTTCGAGTTCTATCAAATGTTTTATATTTCTTATCTGGCTTTATGAAGACTATTCTGGTACGAGGCGTCGGGCGCGCTTTATAGAGAAAATTCCTGTCGCATCAATTAGTAAATTAACTGGAGCAACATTCATCCAGTGGAAATTTAGGGAAGCACAGCCGGTAATGTAATTCAATGACTTTTCTATTGAATATCATATTTATTGCCAGAGAATGTTGATTCGCCTCCACCGTCATCATATTTACCACTTGATGTCAGGTGAATTGTTATCGAACCCTAATAGGGTCTGGTATTTCTTTGTAGTGCTATTTTTGGAACCTTCTTTGTCTGATGATCTCTGCGGCGGGTAGTTGCTTTGTTGATGATAAATAAAGGGCTTACAAAGATATTTGTTCCTCTTCAGATTCTTTGTTTTTTTCTCAAAGCTTCTTTGTTGGATGATATATTTCTTTGAAGCGTTTCTTTGTTCGAGCGGTATGACATTGTAATATATAAAGCCGTCTAATTTCCCGAAATTTGTTAGTGTTCTAGCAAGACAAACAGCATATCATTGTTCGTACCATTATTATTTACTGAGCATTACTTACCGTTACCACCACCCACAATAAAGCACTCAGAACCCTTTATTATTGATTTTCCCGGCCGGGCCGACAAAATCAGTACCGTATCTGGACTTTGTCATCGCGGGCCTTTTAGTGGAAGCAGAAGACAGCAACTTCCATCATACACATCTTTCTGGCTGGTCCAACGATATAAAATTGCGCTTGTGGATTCATCTCGTAATCGGTTTATCATTTTCCTCCTTTGCCTCGACTGGTCATGGAGGGAGCAAATACGGATGGGCTGCCAGAATTTCGTACGGCGGCAGAGGTGGCCGAGTATCTGGCAGACACCAGCGATGAGAGTCGGTATGACGTTCTGCTTTGGGCTGCCCATTGCTTGTTGAACCAGCAGATATCTGCGGCCAATGAGGTAGAGGGCCTATGGGAATTAGTATTAGGTAATCATACTTGGCTGGAAAAGACAAAGACTGGATATGATGTCGAGGCATGGGACGAAGTTAGACAGGTCGCCATCGATGTCAAGAAGCGCCGCCACCGTACAGACGAAGCGCGGCGTAAGATAGCTCTGTGCTGGGGTCAGGAAAATGCTGATTTAGTGGCTGGGCAAGTGCAGACTTACAACACTTTATGCGCCATACGAAAACTGGCCATACGTATGGATATCATGAAAGCCTGTCATGGAATCAATCGTGCGAGATTACATCGCCTGCGAAGGAGAGCCAGAGGCGTGTCAAATCGGATTGAATTGCAAGCCAGTGACTTTTTGCAAGTTGCTGACGGAACCATTCAGACTGGTGAACTGCGATTTGATGAAATTACTGAATTGCAAATTCGTGGTGGTAGGAATGCTCTCATAGTTCCCTACCTATCAAATGCTTTTCAGCAAAGACCATTCTTCCTGAATGATGCACAAACCGAACATAAGGACAAAGGTTTGAATCAGGAGGAGAGCATGGAGGATGGCTTTGGTCCAGGGCCTGCAGGCACTCAGGACGAGAGCATGGAGGATGGCTCCGACCCAGTGCCCCCAGGTG